CTCCATCCCTGGAGGTATCCAAGGAATACCTGGACGTGGGACTCAATGCTCTGAGCTGGCTGATAAGGTGGAGACCATTCACAGGTTGGAGTCAATGATCTTGGGGGTCTTTTCCAATCTGAATGATTCCAGGATTCTGTGGATGACTTTACAACTCAAGTCTTTGCCTGGATCATGCTGTACATAAAATAGGAGGAGGATGATTGGGTTGGGTGTAAATTACCCTAGTGAGGAGGAAGACCTTAGAGAGAATCAGTGGGTGACTCAGGTGACTCTGCTTTTGCCCTTCCCAGCTGAGTATGCCTTCTTGGTAACATTTTGCATACAATTATTATTACCCATGTTAGCACATCGTTATTAATATGGTGGTTGTTGCTGTTGATCATCATCATCATCATCATCATTCTGTTGGTGCTGGTGCATATTATCAATGGCAATTCCAAGCCCGTATTTCTGTTGTTTCAGAACTGAATTCCTACTGTTTGCGAATCCGTGTCTTTGAAAGTCCATATGTAACTGGACCAGACTTGTGGTGCCCAGGTGGTCATCGGAAATTTAACCCAGCTGTTCCCAGCCCCTCTGAGGACCAGTTGGGACACGGGGATTGTTTTCTGCCAAATTGCTATAATCCCCACATGACACCAATAACTGTCATGGGCAAATACTTGATGTTGGAAAAAATAATTTATTGCAAATTAAAATATGTTTGGATGTTGAGAAACCAAGACAAGATTTAAACCACTTTTTTCCCAGGCTCAGTTTCACATCCCCAACTCCTCCCTTTCCCTCTAGCCTGGGCAGTGCAGTGGAGATGGGGAATGGGGGATGTGATCAGTGTATATAAACTCCCATCTGCTCATTCTTCCTTGCATTTCTCCTTCTCCGGGGTGGGTACTTCATGGGATGGATGTGGTTTCTTCAGGACACACCCACCTTCTCCTGTATTACCCCAACACCCCGTTGTTACCACAATCTGGACATTCACAAATCCAGAGAGTTTTGACTCATTCTCTAGCTTGGGGTGGAGGAGGGAATTGGGGCTCCATTGGTCCTAGAGTAATTGTCCTTGGACATTTTCAAGGAGTGACTGCTTGTGGCACTCAGTGGTCTTGTCCAGCTGGTGACTGGTCACAGGTTGGACTTGATGGTCTTGGCAATCTTTTTCAACCTAAATGATTCTGTGATCCTGGTCATGGGGCAAGAGAGAGGACAGAATATGAAAGGGTCTTTCAGTCTGTTCCCAAGGAGCAACATGAAAATCAGTGGCAAGAATCTCCCAAGCAGTTTTGTAACATCTCAGAATCCCAGAACCCCAGAATGGTTTGGTTTGGGAGGGACTTTAAAGCTCATCCTGTCCCACCCCCTGCCATGGGCAGGGACACCTTCCACAATCCCAGGGTGCTCCAAGCCCATCCATCCTGGCCTGGGAAGTTGGGGTGTGGACTGGCATCGTCCTGGTTCACCATCCGAGCCACACGGGCTCATCCCTGCCAAGGAAGAAGAATGAGCCTGGCCACACAGATGGAGGGACACAGCTGCCAAAGCTGTTCCTCCACATGTGAAGGGCAGCCAAATGTGTCCCCAGCATTCCGTGTCGCTTGGGCAATTTATGGCTGGTGAAAGCAAAATTCTACCAGGTGATTTTGAAACTCTTCCCTTCCATGGAATAGAGAGTCTGACACTGGAAATCATGGAATCGCTGAGATGGGAAAAATCCTCCAGGATGATCGAGTCCAACCTGTGACCAATCCCCACCTTGTCAGCCTGATAAATTTCACCAATATAATAAATATAATAAATATTATATGATATGTTATATTATGTGATATAATATAATATAATATAATATAATATGTAATATGTAATATAATATAATATAATATAATATAATATAATATAATATGTAATATGTAATATTATATAATATGTAATATTATATAATGTATTATATATCTAATATTTCCGTCACATATAAACACCTTTAGTATATGTATTTATACACTTGTATACACATACATTTATGCCTATAGGCCCATGTGTTTATAGTCTCAGACACCCTTTTATCCTAACGTTACACCACAGAGAACTTAACAATACATAATGTGATTTGTGTTATTTTCTATATGTATTTATACACTTGTATACACATACATTTATGCCTATAGGCCCATGTGTTTATAGTCTCAGACACCCTTTTATCCTAACGTTACACCACAGAGAACTTAACAATACATAATGTGATTTGTGTTATTTTCACTCTCTCACCGTTTTATACACACACACATATTTATACTTTACAAATGCACACACTCCCAGGCACTCTTTCATTTCTCTGTGTAACTTTAATAACCCAAAATATATAACAAAATGCACAAGATATTTTATATCTGCCGTGTGTTATGTAGTGTATTATTTGTACTTATATTTACTGTTACATCCCACAGTGTCATGGTATTGTTTCCTGTTGGGTACTACACTTGTTGCTATATTACAACTTTATCTATAATTATATATTACATATATATATATATATATATACATATATGTATAAATGTATATATATGTCACAGTCTCACACAGTCTCCTTTTTCATACACATGCATATTTGTAGTCTGTGCAGCCTCAGATGCCCCTTTTCATAGTGTGTATATAACATAATACAAACATGCATTTACTTCATGTAACCTATAGTACGGATTATATAAAATGTAAGAGCATAATAACAACAATAAATTTTCATTATATTTGATTACGTCATTATTTATGACTCGTATTTCAATTTATTATTTTACCACGATTAATATAATTGCATCAATACAATATTAGATGATCTGTTTTGTCATTCATGTTATATATTACATAACACCTGTTACAAGTGACGCCCACAGGCAGCACGCAGCGCTTCTCACCTGCATTCACCGTCCTCTCTGTGACAGACCCCTGCCCTCGCATGATTACAACACACATTTGCATATGTAAATTGCCCATGCAAACGCCGGCCCGCGCTCAGTGGCGCCGTCCCGTGGCTCCCGCCCACCGGAACCAGCCGTGCCGGAGCCGTGCCGGTACCGGTACCGGGGGCGGGGCCGGGGGCGGGGCCAGTGCCAGGGGCGGTGCCAGGACCCTCCGGCCCCGCCCCGCCCGTTTCCGCCCGCACCGGAAGCGCCGCCACCGCGGTGCCGCTCGCGGCCGCCGGTCGGCGCCACTTCCCGGAAGCGGCGTCCCGGAAGCGGCGGTGTGAGGGGCGGGGCGGGCGGAAGTGACGCGCATGCGGAGCCGCGGCGGGGCCGTGCCGCCATGTCGCGGAGCCCCGAGCGGCGGCCGCAGTTGTGAGTACGGGCGGGCCCGGGGCTCCGCCTCGCAGGGACGCCCCGCCAGGTACGGTCCCGCCGCTCCCCGCCCTGCCGGGACCTGTGGGCGGAAATGGGAGGGCGGCGGCCTCGGCGGGACTGGCGGGGGGCGGGGAGGGCGTCGTCCTGTTCGCTCCTATCCCCTCCATTCCTTTATTATCCCTTCCTTTCCCGTCTCTTTCTTATCTCGTTCTGTCCTGTGCTTTTCCTCTATTTTGAAACTCTTCCCTTCCATGGAATAGAGAGTCTGACACTGGAAATCATGGAATCGCTGAGATGGGAAAAATCCTCCAGGATGATCGAGTCCAACCTGTGACCAATCCCCACCTTGTCAGCCTGATAAATTTCACCAATATAATAAATATAATAAATATGATATGATATCTTATATTATGCGATATAATATAATATGTAATATTGAATATGTAATATAATATAATATAATATAATATTACATATTATATAATATGTAATATTATATAATGTATTATATATCTAATATTTCCGTCACATATAAACACCTTTAGTATATGTATTTATACACTTGTATACACATACATTTATGCCTATAGGCCCATGTGTTTATAGTCTCAGACACCCTTTTATCCTAACGTTACACCACAGAGAACTTAACAATACATAATGTGATTTGTGTTATTTTCACTCTCTCACCGTTTTATACACACACACGTATTTATACTTTATAAATGCACACACTCCCAGGCACTCTTTCATTTCTCTGTGTAACTTTAATAACCCAAAATATATAACAAAATGCACAAGATATTTTATATCTGCCGTGTGTTATGTAGTGTATTATTTGTACTTATATTTACTGTTACATCCCACAGTGTCATGGTATTGTTTCCTGTTGGGTACTACACTTGTTGCTATATTACAACTTTATCTATAATTATATATTACATATATATATATATATATGTATAAATGTATATATATGTCACAGTCTCACACAGTCTCCTTTTTCATACACATGCATATTTGTAGTCTGTGCAGCCTCAGATGCCCCTTTTCATAGTGTGTATATAACATAATACAAACATGCATTTACTTCATGTAACCTATAGTACGGATTATATAAAATGTAAGAGCATAATAACAACAATAAATTTTCATTATATTTGATTACGTCATTATTTATGACTCGTATTTCAATTTATTATTTTACCACGATTAATATAATTGCATCAATACAATATTAGATGATCTGTTTTGTCATTCATGTTATATATTACATAACACCTGTTACAAGTGACGCCCACAGGCAGCACGCAGCGCTTCTCACCTGCATTCACCGTCCTCTCTGTGACAGACCCCTGCCCTCGCATGATTACAACACACATTTGCATATGTAAATTGCCCATGCAAACGCCGGCCCGCGCTCAGTGGCGCCGTCCCGTGGCTCCCGCCCACCGGAACCAGCCGTGCCGGAGCCGTGCCGGTACCGGTACCGGGGGCGGGGCCGGGGGCGGGGCCAGTGCCAGGGGCGGTGCCAGGACCCTCCGGCCCCGCCCCGCCCGTTTCCGCCCGCACCGGAAGCGCCGCCACCGCGGTGCCGCTCGCGGCCGCCGGTCGGCGCCACTTCCCGGAAGCGGCGTCCCGGAAGCGGCGGTGTGAGGGGCGGGGCGGGCGGAAGTGACGCGCATGCGGAGCCGCGGCGGGGCCGTGCCGCCATGTCGCGGAGCCCCGAGCGGCGGCCGCAGTTGTGAGTACGGGCGGGCCCGGGGCTCCGCCTCGCAGGGACGCCCCGCCAGGTACGGTCCCGCCGCTCCCCGCCCTGCCGGGACCTGTGGGCGGAAATGGGAGGGCGGCGGCCTCGGCGGGACTGGCGGGGGGCGGGGAGGGCGTCGTCCTGTTCGCTCCTATCCCCTCCATTCCTTTATTATCCCTTCCTTTCCCGTCTCTTTCTTATCTCGTTCTGTCCTGTGCTTTTCCTTCCTCTCCTCTCCTCTCCTCTCCTCTCCTCTCCTCTCCTCCTTTTCCCGTTCCCATTCCACCGGAGCGGAGCGGACTGGGGACAGTTTCAGCTCCTTCCGCGCGCGGTGCCGTCTCCGGCCTGACGCCGCTTGTGTTTCGGTTGTGTTTCGGTTGTGTTTCGGTTGCGTTTCGCTTGTGTTTCGGTTGTGTTTCGGTTGTGTTTTGGTGCCGCGGGCTCTTGCTCTTTGTTGTCACTGCTGCCACATCGCGGTGACGGTGGTGTGTGCTGGAGGTAGCCGGGAAAGGGGGAGTGAGGATGTGAGAGGAATTGAACCTTGTACAGTCATGGAATTATTTCCGTTGGAAAAGCTCTTAAAGATCAGTGAGTCCAACCATTCCCGCAGCACTGCTGCATTCACCCCAAGCCCATGTCCCCAAGTGCCTCATCCACTCGTTTTTTTAAACATTTCCATGGATGGTGCCTCCACCTCTGCCTTGAGAAGCCGTTTCTGATGCTTGGCCACCCTTTCCTTGAAGAAATTTTCCCCAATATCCAACCTGAACCTCCTCTGGCACAGTGTGAGGCCATTCACTCTCCTCCAGTCCCTGTTCCCAGGGAGCAGAGCCCACCTCCCCCGCAGCTCCCCGCTCCTGTCAGGAGTTGTGCAGAGCCAGAAGGTCCCCCCTGAGCCTCCTTTTCTCCAGGCTGAGCCCCTTCCCAGCTCCCTCAGCCACTCTGGGGCTCCAGACCCTTCCCCACCCTGATCTCTTCCCTGGGGCAGTTTCACTGGTCGGGTCCCTCGTTAGGATCAGACCACGAAGAGTGGCTGTGCTGGGCTGTGCTGGCTGGGATCGTGCTGAGGAAATGCTCCGGGCTGCCCAGCTCTCTGTGCCTCCGCTCCTGCTGGAGCTCAGCAGGCCCAGTGGCTCCTGATACCTCTCCTGTCTCTCAGGAGTTCTCAGGGTGCTTTGTGTGTTCAGGGATGAGGTCTGGGTGGTTTCTGCATCCCGGGGCTGCCAGGGGATCCATGCTGGGTGTTTGTGATGGTCACAGATTCTACCAGAGGTTTTGTGGCGGAGGAGGTTCGGTCACGGATCAGGAGAGCTGGGGTTGATAGTAGAGCACAGGAGGTGTTTCCTGGCAGTTTGCACATCCACAGTTATCTCTGTTCCAGGGAATACTACACAGTGGATGAAAAGAGTTCCCGGAAACAAGTACTGTCAAAGAGAAAGTGTTTTTTCTGCCATTGTGGAAAGCTTCTGGTTTAGGATAAAACCTCAGATCATGAGATGGCTTGAACTGAAATTCTGGTCAGGATTTCTCCAAATTCAACATCAATTTCTTGATTTCCTTTAGATGATGATAATAATGGTGGTTATTGTATATTATCTAGATTATATCTATGTTACTATGTATTTATTATTATCATTACTATTATTATTTTATTGCAATTTTCAAATAATCCATGGAATGAATGCAGCTCTATAAAATAAATATGTATCAACTACTATCAATTAATGTTACTTTGTCCCTGGGTGCATGTTTCCAATTGATGATAAATAGTTCCTTTGCCACTTCTTGGATGCAGTTGAACCCATTAAAATAAATTCTTTCGGTTCTCTGGAGTGGCCCATAGTGCCTGGTTATTTATTCAAATTTGTAGATGAAAGTTGTGCCTAAAGGAACAGTTGGGAGTGAAGGCAGATGAAAAAGTAGCTCATTGTTCCTTGTGACAACTTTGCAGGAAAATTGAGCCAGTCTGTCTCTTTGGTCTCTACTGATGCATTTTTTAATGCCACTGTCAGGATTTCTGTGGGAATCATGTGCTGGTGTTTGCACTGGATTTGGTAAATGTATTTATTTGGCAAAACCAAATATTCCTATTTCCTGAAAATATTCTGTGGATGTTTTGTTTAATGCCAGCATAAAGGACAGAAGGTGAATGTTTGCATACTCAGTATTTTGTGTTTTGGGCTGCTCACTGAGAGTAATGAACAGAGAGAGAAGTTGGGACAGTAAAACTGATGTGTCTGGTCAAGAAAACAGGAATTTTGGTGAACTGAAGGAAATGTAGATTATTCTTTTTGTTTTTCTGTTTTGAAATAAGTAAGTAAAAAAAAAAAGTCTTCCAGGTTCTTTCTGTTCTCTTTGCTTTCCTGCCTTCTTTAATGCCACATCCATAGGAGGGTGTTGATGTTGTCACACACACACTGTTCACCAAAAGAAATCTCTTTTTTGGGTCAAAAAAATGTGATCTGGTTGACAGATCCCTCTGAGAATGTCAAAGAATTTTATTTGATTGTTTTTATTGAATTTGATAATTTCTCTGGTGATGCTGAAATATTTCTTCCAGTCCATCATTTTTTTTGGTCTTCTGTGAGCTTATTTCCCTCAAGGTTTGTTCATGGATCTGCCTTAGGCTTTTCTAAAGTATCATAACAACACAATTATTTTTGGGTGTTCTTATATGAGACTTGAGGAAGTTTATTCTTACGGGATTGGAAGTGAAGGAGGATGAAGAGGAGAAAAAAAACTCTACTTCACTAACTGTGGGAGAAGTCCCAAGGGACAGCCTGGCATGAAAGAGATTTCTTTATATATACATTTTTTTTTTTCTGGTTAGGAAAAGAAATTAATCTGTTCTTTAACCAAATTAATCTGACACCCTAAAAAGGGGATACTGAGGGAGTTTTTTTTCATTCTGCTTAAGACATTCTTAAAGATTCATTAATTCAAGGAAGCAGTGACCTTGAAGACTGATGCAAAACAAGTTCTAACTCTCTCTTCATCACTCAAAAATTTATGGGGACAGTGCTTTATTTTATTCTGGTAACATGAAACTTCCTCATGGTTGATTCTTTGTATCATCTGGGAAAAGCATTATGATGTGAAATTATTGTAATGAAGCCTTTTCAACTTAGCTAAAAAGACTTGCTGTGATTCTTTCCCTTCTCTGTCGAGTAAATATGTGTGAATTCCACTTCTTGGTATCTTGTTGGACTTTTCCTTCTCTCTTGCCTGTCCTTTAGCTTATTGTCATTCTCCAAACATGTAAATACCTGATATTTGTTTCAAGTTAAAGAACGTTGTTTCCCAGACATTTACAATTTCGGAACGTCTTGCTGTTTTTCATGGAAATAAAAAGCTACAGTTGCCTTCTGTAATCATTAAAAGCAGAATGATCTGAAATTCAGGCAAATGAGATTTTTTACTGGTGCTTTGCCCCCAGTCTACTTCTAAAGTTCCTGTATGTAGCACAGTCAAAACCACTTTTGAAGTCCGTTGAGCTGGAGGTGAATGGTGATTCCAGGTGGAATGAGGACGTGAGCGCTGGAAACTGCCAGAGGAACATATTGATACAAATATATCATCAGCTTATCTCTCCCTGTTTTTCTTGCTTCCTTTCCCTCTGATCTGCTCCCCCTCCTCTTGCGCAAAAGTTAGAAGTGTCCCCTTGCTTTGACAGGTGGAGGAACAAGCCTCTTTGGAGGTTTCTTCTTGGTGACATTTTGCAGCCCTAGTTAGTTGGGGGTGCAGGTAAGTGCCTGTTTCTCTGTTCAGCACTTCCACGTTTGTGGGACTTGCTGAAAAAATCTTTCCTATTTTGCCTTTACTTCTTATATGTAGAAGCAAAGTTGAGGCTGTAGATTATGAAGTTAGGAAAGAGTGTTGAGAGATTCAAAGCACAGAACAGACGAAGTGTTGTCCAGGAGCTGCTGCTGTTCCTCTTTTGCATTGTCAGTAGTGCTAGAAGGTTTCAAGTTCTCCAAAAGTCTTTTTTCTCTGCTTTAATCATGTTCAAACACACAAATACTTCTACTTCCTCTTTGTTTAAGCAAAACTGTTTTCTATCAGATTGTTGCCTGTCAGTGCTAGTCCATCTCAACTTTCATTTCTGATTCCAAAGCATCCAATGCCATTTTGCTCCTAAGCCCTTCAATGACAGCTTCTATTAGGAACTGTGTGATAAATTGCCCATATTTTAATTTTTGGTACCTTATAAACAATAGTACTGGAGAATTTCCTGCCCGCTGCACTGTTACCTCATGCAAAAATCTCAATTTTCACATATTTTGACCAGAAATGAGGCATTGTACCAAAATACTAGGTGTGGGAGTTAATTCCAAGGTCACAGCAAGGAAAGCTCTGTGTCCCTGACACCTTTGTGTGTTGGGCAGACAGTAGTGGGGTGTTCGTGTGAGTCCCCAGGGGAATGGGACCCCCAGCAGCAGCTGCCCAGCTTTGGGAGTGAAGAACATTCCTATGACTTCGCACTTGATGGGAAAAGGGAAAGGTTGGTTGACTCCTGAGCAGACACAGTGATGGGAGGCAAGACTGAGCTCTCCCAAGCACTGCTCCAAGCTGAGTCAGAAGCCCAAAAAGACAGAAAAAATTCTGGTTTCAAAACTACCTGACAGAAAGCAGAACACATCACTGATGTCATCAGGATGGGTCTGGCTATTCCCATGTTCATCTTCCTAAGGCGTTTATTGGTGTAGGAGGTCAGTGGTATGGAGCTGGTGCTCTTGGTTACTCCAGGTGGAGTTGGCAGCTCTGCCTTTTAATCACTCTGGATCTGCTGTCAGGAAACAACTTCCAGTGATTTGGTCTCCTCATTCCAGTGAGAGCAGCTCTGTTTACCCACACATGTCTGCAGTACTTTGGGCAGTAGATTGTTCTGCTCAGTCTAGGAGCTCTTTTGCCAGAGAGCTTGCTTTGGGCAAACTCCCCCGGAGTGGAAAAGTTTCTTTGTCTTGCCATGGACTCAGGAAATCTTGGCATTTGGAACAGTCACATCTAACTTACGTTCTGACAAATCTGTCTGTCTCTTGGTGAGTTCTTACCTTCACCTGCAAGAAATCTCTGTTTTCTCTTTGAGATGTCCCTAGTCCTGGTTCCATGTGTTCCTCCTTGGTTTTGAAGCCTTTTCCTTCCCAGACTTAGACTTCTGCTCTCAAAAATGTTTATAACCCAGTAGTATTTGAGGGTTTTCCATTTCTTTGAGGACAAACCACCTCTGGTCTGTATCTGCCTCAAGAATGGCTAGGCAGGTGCAATGGAGGCACAGGAGCCACCTGTTCCACAAGATAAACACATCCTACTTCCAAATTCCTTTGTTGTATCTGAAGTAATTTCTGCTTCCATCTTGCCATGCAACTACTCTGCCTGTATTTTCCTGAAGTGTTCCTGAAATTCATAGTTCATAGCTCTCAGGAAGGATATAAATAGTAACAGGGAGGTGGGAAAGGGAAGAATATAGCTTCTCCGGAAAATAGGGAGGTAGTGGTTTCATTTTCAAGATGGAAGGCCCCATGAGGGGAAGCAGAGGTAATGTGAGGTGTTTCCTGGGGTCTTTTAACTTACATTTAATCTGAAAAAGATGCCATTTATTTCTACTCTGGGGTTTTGAAGTTGGACACTATTTTCACACAGTCTGAGCTGGTCTGAAATGGAAACCCAGGTAGGTCAGTAGGAATCTCCTGAAGATTAGCTCAGGCATTTTCCAAGAGTTAATCTGCTTCAGCCCTGGGTGTAGAGTTCACTGATGCTCGTGAATTAAAGTACCTATGCTTATTCACTTACATTGCCTTTCATTTTTCTCTCCTTTCCCTTTTCTTTGTTAAGCATTACAGGCTGTATGTACCGAGTCATTCAGACAACGGGACCAGATGGAAAAAACCTTCTGAAATTGCTTCCCATTTCTAAAACTTCTGAAAGCTTTGTACCAATAGTTCAGTCTCCAGCCATGCCAAATAATTCTAACGCAAATGTTTCTAGCCCAGTCCATCTTACTTATAAGACACAGATTGGCAATACTGCTGCACCTTCATCTGTTAAGATACCGATTCTTCAGCCTCCTAATCCTGGAAAGATTATTCTTACGACGACATTAGACAAGCAGGAAAGTGCTAGGGCAGGTTCTGAAAAGGAAAGCTTGATTCCAAGTGCAGCTGCCAATGCCCAGAGCAGCTGTATGCCCATGGATGGAGTGTCCTTGCAGAACGTGGCCATCATGAGCTCTTCTCACCAGAGCAGCACAACCTACATGGTAATGAATACCAAACCCCTCCCAGTGACTGTCAAGTCTCCAGTGGTGCCTTCCGGACACCACCTCCAGATTCCAGCTGATGCAGAAGTGAAATCTGTCCCAGCGTCTCTTTTGCCACCTGCAGTACAGCAAAAAATCCTGGCAGCTGCAGCCGCCAATGTGTCTGGAGGGGCTGACAGTACAAAAACGCCGACGGTGATTTACGTGTCACCCGTAAACACAGTGAAAACCTCCCAAGTCCTGCCCAAGCACTTGCAGAGCTTTTGCCCCAAACCTGCCACGGAAGTTTCAAAGACACTGATAGTGACAGCTGCCCAAAAGGGATCTGGTTCTTCTCCTGAGCCAGTCACATCTGAGGGGCAGCAGTGCCAGCAAACTCCCATGAAATGGATTGTGCAAGAAACTGCCCCACTCTCAGCAGCTTGTCTTATCCCTGTAAAGTCTTCAAATAATGCGGCTTCCAAGATCCTGAAAACTTTGTCAGACACGAAGAATGTAGAAGTTAACCCTGCAAATATTTTGCCACTCTGTTCTAATGGTCCTGGTGGAAGCCAAACCAAAATCACACCTTTAAAAGATAATGCTCTGGTCATGTACAATGGGAAAATCTATTTATTGACCAAAAGAGGCTCTGATATTCTGTCAGCCCAGGCTGACAAACAGGCATCTTCCTCTTCTGATGCTTTACTTAAAAAGGAGACACCCAAGCAAATTGATTCTACTGAAGTCAATAAAATAACCAGTAAAGTGGTGAATCTGGTGTTTTCAAAAAGCAAAGGAGTGGTGCTATCTCAGAAAGACCCAAAACCGCGTACAGTTTCCAAAAGTTCGTCACCAGTTAGCTTAAGAAATGACTTAAAATCCACACCTGCAGCTCTGCTAACACCAAGTGCTAATCAGCAGGATCCCACTGTAAGCCAGAGACAGAGTTTGCCCTCCATCAAGAGCGTTTCTTGCAGTGAAGTGATCCCAGTTCCAGCAGTAGGGATGCAGGAAAGTGTGTGGCAAAATGGCAAAGATATGAGTCATTCCCCAAGAGCAGCGGGGGCTGTGTTACCTCAGGCTAAGCAGGAATGTGCTGTCAGTGAAGACTGGCCAAAGGTAATAAATCATAAATATGCTGCTCAGTGTCTGGTCAGTGGTTCTGTGGTCCTGGTTTTAGATGGATAAAATGACTTGATGAGTTCACACATTTTTGTAACCAGGTATCCTGGAAATGCTGCTCTTAAGGTTGGTTCTAGTCAATAAATGGCCTTTTTCCCAATAATTTTGCATTGTGCAAGTGCGAAATGCATAGAAAAGAAAGGGGCAGAGAAAGGGTGGTTTTCATTTCCTCCCAAGATAAATGGTCAGCAATAACTGAATTCCAGGGAGGCTGTTCATGGTTTGAGCTCTTAGATGTTGATACCACATGCTTACAGCACAACCTTAGGGCTGTAGGGGTGATGTAGGGTAGAAAAGGAGAAGTTTGTGGCTTCACAAGAGGAAAATAAGTTGGAAGAGCAGTTTGTCCTCCAGTGACAGCTCTGGCGTGACACTGTCAGCTCCAGACTGACAGCCATGGGCAGGAGCTGTGTTTCCTTCCTCCTCTGCCCTGGTGGGGAGTGTCCACCTCCTTCGCTCCTGGGCCCATGCCAGACAGAATGAACTCTTGAGATCCTTAGTGGCTGCATTGACATATTCTTTTACGGTCATAATGTTGAAAATATGTTAAAAGTTGTATGCCTCCATTCCTCAAACTCTCCACACAGGATTGGGGGTCATGTTTTTAGGAGCTTCAGAGTCATGAATGAATTTGTCTCCAAAGGAAAAAAAACCCGAAATTCGTTTATGTTGTTCAGGAAGAACAGAAATGTCAGCTGAGTGTATTTTTACAAATTTTAGACATTTAATTGTTGCAACTGACTGTAATACCTAGTTTTTTTTATTTTTTGTCACCTGAAAAATGGTTGAAATACCATTTATTTTCTTCAGTGCTGTGTGATGCTGAGTCTCAGCATTTGCTTTAACCTTGGTGAGAAATAGCTCAGCAAATTTGGTGTTCTTGTCCCTAAATTTGCAAAGTCCTGGATTGCAGAGTAAAGACACTACCTGCTCTTCCCTCCTCTTTCTTTGGTACTTTGAAAGAGTAGGACAAGTGATTCTAATGTTGCATCTTTTATTTTTGTGGTTTCTGGTTGGCCTGGACATTTTCGGGATATCCCACAATGTACTTGGGGTATTAATTAAAGAGTGTTAGACCTATGACAATTTGCATATAATTTATCAAAATTGGCTTATCTGTGTCACATGTTACCTGTGTTAAATGCAGTTCTTGGAGAATGGCAGACAAAATAAATGCTCACCTGTCTTTGTAGTACCTACTTTTTGTATAATATATGTTATCTATTTATAGATATATATAGTGAGAGAGTGATTTATGGCTCTCTCACTGTTTCTGTATTTCAGATGCAATGTGTAAAGATGGATTCACCGGGAAAGGTTATTCAAATGAAACACCAAGAGCACCCACACTGGAGACAATACTTGGAATTAAGGAAAAAATTTGGTCTATTTAAGGAGGAGAGAGTTTACCTTACAAGAATACCATCAAGGGCCTTCTGTGAGAATACAGAAGAAAGGGTTTGTTCCAATGACAGCTTGGAAAGGAAAAATGAGTCTTGCAGTTCATCCTCATTGGATGTGGAAATAATGAGTGATCATCAAGAATGTGTTGAAGAAAAGGTACCTGGGATTTTTCAGTGCTAAACACACTCAGAAAACAGCATATGTTTAGTCAATACAGAGCTGAAGGTGTTTGGAGCCTCCCACCTCTGTATTCACCAGGAGAGTCAGGAGTTGTTGGGATCTTTATGAGAATTGTTCCTAGAACTTGAGACTTCTGTATGACTCAAGCGCCCTCTAGGAATTTTTATTCTCAATTTTGGGTTTTGCTGGAGGAAACTTGAACAACAAATGCTTTTGAGAAGACTGTCCCTACTACTACGGTGATGGTCCTTGTTGGAATAGGGACCTGACCTCGGGATCCTGATTTATATTTAAGCCTCTGCAGATGGTTATGTTTTTGTAGCAGTGCAGTGGGTACAGGCAGAGGAATGGGTTTACTTGAAATTAAAAGAAATTTACTTGTGGATCTGTCCAATCTTTTGAATTACAAATGTTGTTACAAACTTTGTCATTGGTTGGGTAGTTCTGGAAGGAAGAACTTCCGTGTTAATGCATGGAAAAGATTTTATCCACTTAAGTATTTCTGTTCAGCTACATTTTCATCTGTGTGATTCCAGTCAACTCAATCAAAGGCTTTCTCAGGTTTACTAATTTTGTGCTAATAATTGAGCAGATCCATGGCTGCTATTAACATTAGCATTAACCCATCTCTTAGAAGTGTGCAGGACCAGGTTGGATGGAGCTTAGAGCGACCTGGTCTCATGGAAGGTGTCCTTGCCCATGGCAGGGGGTGGAATGGAATGGGATTTAAGGTCTCTTCCAACTCAAACCAGGATGTGATTCCATGATTCAAATAATAAAATGTCTATGAGGAATTTAGTCTGATAATGGACATTACTCCTCAGATTGAGGTTTTGGAAATGTAGACATGAAGAATTCTTCTACACTGTATTTTCCTATCAAATTAGAAAGTTTTTGTCTTGCAGTAGTGTTAACTTAAACAGCCACAGGAGGTGATGGATGTGGCCAGGAAAGGCAGATATGCAGCATTGACTAAGGAAGGAATTCAGTGTCTGGAATTACTAACTGGGAATCTTTGCTAGAAGAACATCAAACACAAAAATATGTTTGGTCCTTTGCTGAAAGGAACTTCTTCCAGGCAATAATTTTTAAAAGCTTGCAACAAATAACTTGTAGTTTGTGCTTAGAGAACTTGGTGTTATAATGTAACTGCTACTGAGTTTAACAAGTGAATTTTGTCTGTTTCTAACTCTGCAGATAATTGTGGATCTGGAAGAGGATTTGATTAGGAAAAGGAAAATAAAATCCTCACCTTTGTCAGACAGTGGCAAGAGGAGGAGAACTTCAGTCAAATCATCCACAAGTCCTAGTTTAGAAATCACCAGCTCAAGTTTCAGTGCACTTAAAAGGAGTGTTTCACCTGCACCAGCCTCACCACAGCCAAGTGTTCCCACTGGCTTCGTTGGAGTGTCCCAAGAGAGGGACTTGGAACAGGACACATTCCCCCAGTACAGTGACATTACCCACCCTGGGATTTCACTTTTAGTGACTTCTGAAGAGGATACTTCCATTCTGGAAGGTTCTTTCCGAGATGATGCTTTCCCTGTGGCTCCCCCAGACCTGGATGAAACGATACGGGATGAAAAAATCAAGCGACTGAAGCAGACCCTGCGGCAGCGGACCGCGGCGCTGGAGGAATTCCGGCAACGGGAAATGCAGCAGAGCTGAGACCCCTGCCCTGGGGATCCCAACCTTGTGCATCACCTCTTCAGTGATTTCAAGAGGAAATCCTTTGCTTAAATGAATATTTCTGGTAGATGGAATAACTAGAAGTTTAAGTATGTGTGTATTTACAGAACTGTAAGTTTTTGTTAAATGCCAGAAGTAAGAGACTTGACCATCAAATTCTACTTCTAGGACATGATCCAAGAGCACAGATAAAGGGCATTTTTACCAGCATATTCCCCATATTTTTAATTGAGGGGGTTCTGTATTAGTCTCAGCAAATAAACTTTCCCCTTTCGAATTCCATGGCCTGGCTCTTAGAACCCCAATGCAAATTGCAAACCCTAGCTGTAGATACTTTTTTGTTTGTTTTTCTCATGTGCATGAGAACTTCGATGTATTCCTGAGAACTGTTAATTTTCAGAAGAGGTCAACAGTCAGTGGTTAATAAATGCTAGTTAAATAATCTGGAAATTAGACTTTAGACAGTAGCAGTGCAGATACTTATATAAAACCTCTTGCAGATGTGAAGACATAGGCAGGAGAAGCCCTGTGACAGTTGCTTGGATTCATGGCTCTCTCTGTCATTATTGTGAGCCTTTATAAGGTCATGACCAGATGTGCAATGTGGAAATTTGGTTGTGGGGTTTTTTTTGAAGAGTGGGATGTATTTTTTTTAAACAGAATTCTGTTAATAATAATTTCTTGACGCTAAAAGACTTCTTTATCTGTCAGTGATATCTTTAACAATCCTCAATGAGTGTCTTTTAATATGTTGTTTAAACATGTCTCTTGCCACCTTCAGTTATGGTATCTTAGTTTGCCTTGTAGGAGGGGATGTGCCCTCAGACTGTCTTTACATCCTAAGTTTTGTAGAACTTTTTGTGTATTTCCCCACCACGCTCTGTTATATGTGTAGGGACACCTTTCCTTGTCTTCTGTTGTCATGTCTTTGATCATTGCAGTTCCTTCTGCAGTTTTTCAGTGTTCTCTCACCAAATAATAACTTTTTTGCCAGCAGAGTTTGTTATTGCTTTGTTCCTGTCTGTTTATATTTATTTTAAACATCACCACTCCTGGCAGAACTCTGTTGCAGATTTGTGTTCACTGAAGGCTTTTTTTTTTTACTGTCCTTACTTCTGGTTTTATTCCTATTTTGTTTAATTTTAATCAAATTTTCATCTGCAGGGTTTTCATTTATTATCCCACAGATGTCCAGTTTTTCTATAGGGTTTTGGTGGAGATGGATGCTTCTTGGAGAGCTGAGTTCCATATTCCTTACTTATTTAAGTTTTCACAGTGGGAAAAATTCCAATAGTTTGGAGAGGCAAGACAGCTTTTTACAAGGGAAGAAAAATGAAGTTCCTGCTCTGAAGAATCACAGAATCAGAGAATGGTTTGGGGTGTAAGGAATCTTAAAGCTCATCTCATTCTACCCCCTGCCGTGGGCAGGAACACCTTCCACTATCCCATGTTGCTCCAAGCCCCGTCCAACCTGGCCTGCAACACTTCCAGGGATGGGGAAAGCTTAAGCTAGACCAAGGTGATGGACCAGATGCACAGTGATGGGTGAGGAGGGAAAGTGAATAATGGAAATAAACTCTGCAGTGATTGAGATCACTTGATAGGAGGGAAGCGTGGTGGAACAAGCAAGTCAGGATGGAAGTGTGGTATCCATGGGCTCCCTATGTATGGAATGGGTGTTTTGGGACAGAACTGACTTTGGTCAATTCCCAGAGACCCGCCTGCTCCACTCACTCCCTTCCTGCGGGATGTGGGAAAATGGAAGAATGGAATTGTGGGTGGAGATAAAACCACTTGCACAAAAAGTAAAATCAGGAATTCAGTCACCACATCCTGTCAGCAGGCAGAAGATCAGCCATTTCCGGGGTCTCTGTGTGCACTGTATTCACTTGGAAGACAAATACTTTGACCAGAAATGTCCTTCCATCCTCCTGCTTTCATAAAAGCTTTTATTTGCTGAGCATGGCCTCCTGTGGTATGGAATATCCCTTTGATCAGTCTGGGAAGACTGTCCAGGCTGTGTCTCTTCCCAGTTTCTTGTCCATCCCCAAATTCCTGTCCATCCCAAGCCTGCTAGGGGGTGCACAGCAAGAGAAGGAAAACATCTGGATGTTGTGGGAACTCTTCTCAAAACACTGGTACGTGATCAGCAGTCTCCTCAAAACCCCAAACACGGCATGATGTGGAGCTACTGTGAAGGACGTCGACTCCATCCCACCTGAAAGGATGAAATGGGACTTGGGAAGGAGATGGAGGCAGCTTTGTGTTATGTGTCTGGTGCTGCAGTCACCTGGTAGATACTCTTCCAACACGCTTTGCTCACTTACTGTTCTCTAACAAATGTCTTTCCTTTATTTCCAGTGATCTCAAAAATAATTAATGAAGCCGAGTTCTCTTATCCTCTCATTTCACTTGAGGTTTCCAGCGTTGACATTCTACAATGCACCATCTTTTTATCCCAGAACCTCTTTTACCCTAACAAAGTAGTCCATTTGCCTGAGTTTTTTGTAGACACAATTAAGTACTCAAAGTTTGGAGAAGAATCCTCACTGCAGAATTTTGAAGAAACGTGACCAGGATCTGATAGAAGAAGGTGTATGGGCTATGTCCAGTATAGTGACAGAAAATACCTGGTGCAGTTCAGAAACCAAGTATGGAAGAGAGACATCTTCCTTGGAACAGCACTAGTGCAAGGTTGCAGGGATCACTGAGAGCCAAGAGAAGCCTCTTGATTGCTGATGGGGGAAAGTTGCACCAAGAGGAGCAAAGGGGCTTCTGACAGCCAAGGACCTTAAGGCTGTTGGAGCTGCTCCTCATCCTGACTCACCATCTGCAGCATGGATTGGATTTTGCTGCCCTGTTCATCCTTGAACTCCTGTGATTTATGAAGAGTCTGTGACAAGAGCAAGAGTTCTGGCAATACTGGCTGTCACCCCAGGAGTGGAGGTGACCGGTAGCCATCCCTGAGTTCAGCCCAGGCTGGCAGGAAGGTGTTACACACCAGAATTGCTGTGCTAAGTACTACAAAATCAATGGATTTAGGATATGAATTACAACTTCAAGCAAATTCCTGGCAAGAATCACCTTTTACAAATTTCAGAGTCCAAAGAGCAGAAGTGGCAGTGAGTGCTGGACAGAACAGATTCAGGAAGTGAAGATGGTGCTGGGTAAGTTGCCAACATCAGCCAAACCTGGCGCCTTGGAGTCCCTGGCCAGAATTGTCCCTGTGCCTGTCTCCTGTACTGGAGACCCACCACAGCCCCAGAATTTCTATGTGAGGCACAAACCTTGACAGAGGTCTCTCCTAGACATAGAATCATTGTATCGTTTTGATTGGAAAAAGCCCTCAAGATCATTAAGTCTGGCCATAAACCTGAGGTGGCCAAGCCCAGCACTGATCCAGAGCTGGGCAATGCCAGGTGCAGCCCAGGAAGCCACCAGAGGAAGGGGGCTGTACTAGGAACACCCATCAGATGAAGCTCTGGACAGAATAGCAGTGTCATGTTCACAACACAGCAGAGCATAATTAATCCAGGAAGTTCTGGAATGTATTGAGGATAAACTCTCCAAGTGAGGGAGGAGCCAGCAAGGAGAGGAGCTGTGCTGGACCTTGTGCTCACCAACAAGGACGACTTAGTAGAGAATGAGAAGCTCAGGGACAGCCTGGGCTGAGTGAACGTGGAATGGTGGATTCAGGATCCTCAGGGCAACAAGGAGGGCACAGTGAGTCCTGGGATTCAGGATGCCTCTTCAGGGATCTCCTTGGCTGAGTGTCATGGGATAAAGCCCTGGAGGGAAGAGGGGCCCAGAAGAGCTTGTTCATATTTAAGGATCACCTCCAAGCTCAGGAGTGACGCATCTCAAGCATGAGAAATTTGGACAAAAACTCCAGGAGGCCTGTGAGGGTGAACAAGGAGCTCTTGGACAAACTCAGAGTGTGGAAGCAAAGACAGGCAGCCGAGGAGGAATACAGAGGGATTGTCTGAAGTTAGGTTAGGGATCAGGTTAGGAAACCTGAAGCCCTGGTAGAGTTAAATCTGGCCAGGGACATCAAGGGTAACAGAAAAGCTTCTATAGGAACATTGGTGATAAAAGGAAGACTGGGGAAAATGTCCTCTCCAAAAGGAAACGGGACACCTGCTTTCCCAGGACATGGAGAAGTCTGAGATTCTCAGTATTTGTGCCCCAGTCTTCACTGGGAAGTGACCCACTCACACCGCCAGAGTTGCAAGGGCAAAGGCAGGGACTGGGAGAAGGAAGAACCCTCCACCCTAGGAGAACCATGTAATTCCAGAACCTTTAAGGTTGGAAAAGCCCTCCAAGGTCATTAAGTCAAACCTGTGTCATCTAGTCCAATCTGTGACCAATACCTGCCTTGCCACTCAGCCCAGAGCACTGAATGCCACGTTCAGGCATTCCTTCAACACTTCCAGGGATGGCAAATGCATTATCTCCCTGGGAAGACCCTTCAATGCGTGACCACCCCTTCCAGGAAGAAATTCCTCCTGAAGCCAACCTGAGTTTCCTGGTACAACTTGATGCCATTTCCTCTTGTCCTGTCCCTGTTCCCTGGGAGCAGAGCCTGACCTCCCCTGGCTGCCTCCTCCTGTCAGGGAGTTGTGGAGAGCCAGCAGGTCTCCCCTGAGTCTTCTTTTCTCTAGGCTGAGCCTCCCAGCTCTCTCATCCATTCCTAAGAGGACTTATGCTCCATACTCTTCACCAGCTCTGTTCCTTTCTCTGGGCTTGAGAAGATAAAGTATCTTCTACTGGAGTATCTTAAATACTCCAGTAAAGGAGTATTTAAGGAATATGAAGGTGTACAGGTCTGTGAAACCTGATGAGATACATCTATGGATCCTGGTAGAACTGGCAGAGGAAGTTCCTAAGCCACTCTGTATCACATTGAAAAGTTGTGGCAGTTCAGTGAAGTTCCACTGACTGGAAAATGGAAAATTTGACCCCATTTTTCAAAAGAGAAATAAGGCAGATGCAGTACGCTACAGGCCAATCAGTCACACTGGTGTCCGGCAAGATCATGGAGAAGATCATTCTGGAAACTATGCTACGGCACACAGAAAATAAAAGGTGATTGGTGACAACCAGTATGGCTTCTCTGAAGACAAATTGTGCCTGACAACTTTGGTGACCTTGTATGACAAGGTGACAGTGCTGATAGGTGAGGGCAGAGCGACTGATATCATCTACCTGGACTGTGCAAAGCATTTGACACTGTCCTGCAGGACAGCCTTGTCTCAAAACTGGAGAGACATGGATTTGATGGGTGGAACACCCACTGGATAAGGAATTGGCTGGATGGTGGCACTCAAAGGATTGTGGTCTGCAGCTGTAGACAAGTATGTCTGAGTGGAGACCAGTGACAAGTGGTGCCCCAAGGGTCAGTTGGGACCAGTGCTGTCTTTGTCAGTGACATGGGCAAGTGGAATTGAAGCATCCTCAGCATGATGCTGACAGTGAGATGTTTGGTGATGTCACACACGAGGAAAGGGACAGGGCATCCAGAGGGACCTGGATGGGCTGGAGAGGTGGGATCATGTGAACCTCATGAAGTTCAGCAAGGCCAAGGACAAGATCCTGCCCCTGGATTGGGGTGACCCCCAGCATAACTCCAGGCTGGGGGATAAATGGAGCAGCCCTGAAGAGAAGGAGCTGGGGGTGTTGGTGGATGAGAAGCTCAACAGGAGTGACTCCATCAGTGATGAGGGAAAGCTGACAGATGCCATTTATCTAGACTTCTGTAACCATTTGACATGGTTCTCCCCCAGTATCCTTCTCTACATTGGAGAGATGGATTTAATGGGTGGATTGTCAGGTGGATAAGGAATTGGTTGTATGGCCACATCCAGGCAGTTGTGGTAAAAGGCTCAGAGTCCCTGTGAACATTAATGACAGTGGTGTCCTTCATGGATCTGTACTGGGACCAGCGTTATGTAATATCTTCATTAATGACAAATGGAAGGATCTAGGGCACCCTGAGCAGGTTTGTAGGTGACACTGAACGGAGGGGGCAGGGACACCCCTGCGGGAGAGGGTCATTGAGAGGGACCTGGACAAGCTCAGAAGTGGCCCATGGGAAACTCAAGAAGTTTAATAAGGCCAAGTTCCAGGTGCTGCAGCTGGGTCAGGGTGACCCTGGGATGGATCCAGGCTGGGGGTGAGCAGATGGAGCAGGCCTGGGAGAATGACCTGGGGGTGTCGGTGGGTGAGACCTGAATATGCCTCAGCCCAGAAACCCCCCAAGCCCTCGGCTGATCCCCCAGTGTGGGCAGCAGGGGAGGGGGATTCTGCCCCTATGCCTCACTCAGGTGATACTCCACTTACAGTGCTGCCTTAAGACTTAGGACCCAACAGCAGCAGAAGGACCTGGAGCTGCTGGAGCAAGTGTAGAGGAGGCCATGGAGATGCTCAGACACCTGGAGTTCCTCTGCTCTGGAGCCAGGCTGGGAGAGCTGGGAATGTTTAGCCTGGAGAGAGACACTCCAGGGGAAGAGAAGGTTCCAGGGAGACAGAGCCCCTTCCAGTGCCTAAAAGGGCTCCGGGAAAGCTGGAGAGGGACTTTGGACAAGGCATGGCATG